TATGGGCTTTTTGTAAGGGTGTGTAAAATTGCTAGCACTTTCCTTTCTGCATTTTCAAAGTGCTCCGGTAATGTGCAGCATAACGAATTTTCAAATGGAGGTAATAACCTGCTCATCAAATATCTTAAAATGCTTAATCGTATCCCACACCTTGTTCTCTACTTTTTTAACAGGCGGAAATAAAAAATGTGAGTGTGGTGGCTTTCGAGGGCAACCGTAGTGCCCTGTGGCCAGTTGGAATCAATCCACCCTTTGAGCCAAAGACACGTTTCGAGGTCCTGCGGTGGGATTACTTCACAGATGATCAGGTGTACTCCTGCATTGATGGTTCTCCGAAATGCGAGCTCCGTGGAATCGATAAGCTGGACGTAGCTGACGTCATTGAGACAGCATTGGGAGAGCTGAACAAGAAGTACAAGCCCGTTCTGCACCTGAAGAAGCAGCAGCTCATTAACGGATACCGACGCTTCGACCCCACCAGAGGGATGGAGTACACCCTGGACCTCCAGCTGGAGGTGCTTAACCAGAAAGGACACAGTCGCTCCATCACCAAGAGGGTCCACCTGGTGAGGCCTCTCAGTCGTATTGAGATCATCCCCATGCCTTATGTTACAGAAGCAACTAGAGTTCACATCATCTTACCCGTCACTCTTCAAGACCGAGAGCACGTTCACCAGTTTTTGGAAGTGTATGCCACAAACGCGTTTGAAACCAGTGAGAATGCCATCTTGACCTTTCTCTTTATCTACGATCCAATTGAGGCCCAACAAGTCAACCAGAATGACATCTTCGCCAGCGTCAAAGCACAGATCAGTGCTTACGAGCACCGGTATCCTTCGGTCAAAGTCCCCTGGATCAGCGTTAAAAGCGGAAGTCCCTCTCAAATCAAATTTATGGACATCATCTCCAAGAAGCACCCGGTTGACACGTTGTTCTTCATCGCCACTGTGAAAACCAGCATCAACTCGGAGTTCCTCAATCGCTGTCGGATGAACTCCATCAACAACTGGCAGGTGTTTTTTCCTATCCATTTCCAATTCTACAATCCCAACATTGCTTATCATAACCAGCCTCTTCCCAATACGATGGATTTGGTCAAAGAGTCCGGCCACTTTGATCGCAGTTCCTT